CGGGGCCGCAGCGCGGTGGGCGGGGCTTTCCTTCTCGGGGCCTTGGGGGCCCTTCCCTTGAGGTCCGTCTCTAGACCAGGCATTTGCAGGGCCCTTGCAGACATTCTCCTTTACTCCTCACAACGGGGAGATGGAGTCTTGCTCATTGTTGCGTCCCCTACAGCCAGGTGTCAGGCACACCGGTGTCTCCTTAACGCTGGCCGCACTGTGATCTTGCACTGTGTGCCTTATCTTGTTCTCGCTTTCCCAGATCGCCTTGTGCGGGCAGGTAACCTGTGTCTCCTGCATCGTGTGAGTGCCCAGTGTGTGCATATACTTAGCTGTGTTCTTTCTGTTGAGGTTTAGCTTGGCATAGAGCTTGTTAGGAACTTGAATTCCTTAAAACACCGTAGACTCCCAAAAGGGGCTCAAAAAATAGGATTTTTTTTTTTTTAAAGGAAAGGAGCATGACTTCATAATAGGAAACCAGCACCCAGCTTCACCGAGAGGCATTGGTGGCACCATTAGTTGAATGCTGGGGAAAGCGTGGGTGCCGCTTTCTCCATAACTCCCATTGTTTGGAGGAAATGTCCACGGGAGGTCTCATTCCAGCTTCCTCCCTTTGCCACAAGATCTTAACCAGCCAGACCACAGTTGGACCCCTGGCATCCTGCTGCTGCCACACAAAGGAAGGCATCAGAGGCAAGAATCGCTGTTACTGGTGGATCTGTTACAGACCCCGTTATGGTAGAATTCCAGTGTCTTCAAATCAGATGCTCTTTAATAAACAAAGACTTACAGATTTGCTACATAGACACGTGTAACACACTCCTGAGTTTTATCCTTCCACGTGGAAATCTTCACTGGTGAAGAAAGCAAAACCAGAGAACACGAAACTTGTTCCGGCTTTCTCTTCTCTGCTCCTTTCCTGCGGAGGGGCAGGCCCAGTTTGCCTTTCAGTCCCATCAGTGGAAAATCACAAGCACAGCATGGTCCCAGTTTTATTTCATAATTATCTCAGGGTTGCAAGGTTAGAGTAGATTTTTTTCTTTTGAGCTTTATATTTTTCAGATGTTCTAAATTGAACATACAGTTTTATTTATTTATTTTTTGACTTGAGTGTCCAAAATTGGGTTCATCAGATCTGGTTCTTGTTCCATGGTGGCCTCTTTTGTTTATTAATTTGTTAGCTGAAGGGCTAGAGCTTTTCCAGTAATTTGTACCCATCTCTGCTCTTCCCCCTGTCGCCATCTCTCCTCATAGTGTGTGGGTGGGTGTACCTTAAGTGTGTGCCACTGTGTTTAGTGTGTGTGTGTGTGTGTGTGTGTGTTTAAGGTGTGAGTGTTCTGGCACTTTTTCCTGTTCGACATTGTGATTTTAAGACTCATCCGTGTGTTGTGTGTGAGTGTGGGTCCTTTTCACTGCCATGCGAGGGTCCATGGTGTGAGATCTTTGCCCTGGGTGGTGCTTTGAGTGGGGAATAAGTTGTGATGCTCAGGTTTTCTGCATTATGCCAGCTCTGAAGATAGGACACCATGGGCCACCTGTGCCCCAGCACTCTCTGTGGCTTATTGAGTGAAGGAACCCTGAATCATGACTTGTTCAGATGGTTGGCACTGTGGCCTGCGAGGCATAACACATTCCTTTTCCTTCCTCCACAACCTCAGAGTGGCCTTGAAGGTGCCCACCCAGGAACTGCTCTCTTCTCTCCTTGCTGACGTGCCTCTCCGTACCACCAGGATGCACTTGTAACCAGGATGCACACATGGCATCCTCTTCTCTCCCTTTCATTTCTGCAGATTAACATTGAAGATCTTGAGGAGGGGCCTGTGGTGAACGGAGAGAGGTGTGATGGTCCGCTTACAGATGCTGTGGTGTCAGGGAGCAAAAGGAGGTCCCAGAGTGGAAGTGCCGAACCCAAGAAGGATGGAGAGGTGGATGATGGAACAGCGCCCCTGGAGCAGGTGTGGGGCCGTGTGGGGACCAGGGGTGCCCAGCCACACACACTCTGCTGTCATTTTCTGAATTTCATCTTGTTAATTGCCCAGTTGACCCCAAATTTCCTGGGTAGTTGTGATCAGTTGTGATTGAAATCTTCAAGACTGATAGCCATCACGGGTGCTGTATCCAGGGTCCTCTAGACAAATTTCCCCAGCATGAGATTCGTCTCCCTCATATTGGGAGAGTTCCCCTGCTCAGCGGGTGTGTGCTTTTCATGAATACGCATCTGGGACTCAGGCCAGGTAGACAGCCCTGAGTGGACGTGCCTTGAAGAAATATGTAAGCCAGGTTAGTTTTTTGTTCTCTGTGGCACACGGGAGGGTCTCTCCGGAGACCTTTTGCTCATTGATTCAACAAGTGCTTTAGGGAGGCTTCTGGGTTCTAGGGACAACTCTTTGCCTTCCAGGGGCCCCTAGTCAAGAGCGGGACATGGGTGGACTGACAACTACAGTTGGGGAGACCTGATGAGTGTGTGGGGTGGAGGAGACAGACTGAGCCGGGGGGTGCTCCCCAAGGAGGAGAGGGCCAGGTGAAGACTTGATAGGTGTTCAGGCAGGTGGACATGGGTGTGGGGACTGCGGTGTGGGGCCCAGTCTCCAGGTGACTGAGCGAGGCAGGAAGACTGGTTAAAAAAGTGAACAGTGAAATCAGAGGGCTGGTGGGTGGGTATTAGAACCATATGAGCTTCATGAGGTCACAGGGAGCCCTGAAGTGGAAGGTGGAGGCTGGACTAGAGTCAGCAGACTGTTGGGAGGTGTTTGTTGTCGAAGAGAAGTAGGTGAGGTCACAGGACATTCAGGAAGTGAAAGGGAGGGGACACCAAGCCTGTGTCCTATGTCACTGTGTCCCTCTGTAGCTTCTGCTTTGATTCTCAAGGTTTAAGATCTCATCTTCTGCCCAGCTGGGCATGGCTCAGAGGTTAAGTGTCGACCTAGGATCATTGATGTTTCTGTCTCTCTCTCTCCCTCTCCTTTCCTCTCTCTGAAATCAATAAAGATATATTAAAAAAAAAAAAAAATCTCATCTTCCCTTTCCATTGATTAAGATGTGCTTTTTTTATTAGTCAAATGCAAGTGGCAGATTCCGAAAGAAGAAAAAGAAACAGAAAAATAAGAAAAATTCTGCAGGAGAAGCTCTGGTACGTCTGGCTAACACCCTGTCTGTTGTCTTCTGGCTGTTCTCAGGGTGCCGTTAGAAGCTGTTTTTGTTTGTTTGTTTGTTTGAAGCAAACATATCCTCCAGGTTTTATTGTCATATAATAAAGTAAGTTATGAAGCTTAGAACTTGGATCCCTTGACCCTTTCCCTTACCTGCTCCCAGCGCAAAATGCTCTCATGTCTTAATGGCCAGCATTTCTCAGACCTGCAGTTGGGCTCCACACATTCAAGCCGCAGCACGATCTTTGCAGTTTTAGCCCTTTTGCAGAAAATTGGCTTACTTTGCCCACCACAGCTACTGCTTCCTGTCATCATCACCTTCCCTGTGTATACAGCCGGTCCTTGCCCTTCTTGTACTGTGTCACCCTGTGGGGCTGGCGCCTGCCAACTTCTTACAGAAAGTCAGGAAGGTGTTAGTGACATCACCATGTTTTCAAGAGCACTGTCAGCACAAACAGGAAAGCAGGTTGTTTTTATTTGATATTTCGGTTCTTTCCCACTAGGAATATAACTGATTCAGAAATCAGAGAAATGAAAAGGGGAAATTACTTACCGATTTAGCTGTTTTGTTTGTTCACTTCATTCCTTGAGGGTTAGAGCCCCACTCTGCATCCGAAATGATGCTCTTGGGCAACAGAACCCCTCCTCACCCTGCTGCACCTGTGTCCTGACCTTTGTCTGGTGCTGAGGTGTAAATGCCTCCAGCAACCGTGTGTCTGAAAGTGTATTTCCATATTGCCCCTGGACCTCGTCCTTGTGTTTGTCTCAAAAAGAGGTGGTGGTTTTTTGTCTGTTCAGTCAGAATCTCCAGTCCCAGCTCAGTTACCTGAGGAGGTGAGTGCACCTGTGTGACTAGATATGTGGGCTTGTGACTCAGGTATTCAAGAGCCCTTCTGGCTCTGTGATTCTGTCTATTCTGAGCGTTCTCTTATGAAGAACCTCTCCTTCCTTCTCAATTATATGCTTGTCTTTCAGGAAGTAAACTGTCTAATAGTTGTTCTTTGTAAAAATGAATTGTGTAGTTATTGGTTGTTATAACGTGTATAATAAAGCGAGGGTGGTGATTAATATGTTGTTTTGGGGCCTTTAGGAAAATGGGCTGGAAGACATTGATCGCATCTTGGAGAGGATTGAGGACAGCAGTGGCCCTCACCACCCCAGCCCACCCCCTCTGAGTTCGAGGAAGCATGTCCTGTATGTGGAGCACAGGTACTTCCTCCCTCCTGGTCCTCACTGAGACTCTGTGGTGAGGAACATTATTATAAGAAGAAAAAAGTTTACTATCTTTATTTAAAAGTGATATGAGTACATTATCAAGCATTTAGGAAATAGGAACATGAAAAAGAGGAAAAGGGGATGCCTCTGTTTCTGAGGACCTTTCACTTTTAGCTTTATGCGTGGGAATGCTGTTGACGAAAGATGTCATTCTGGGATAAATGATTCATCTCTTGTTCTTGAAGATGTTGAATGAAACTCTGTCCTCACTGCAGAGATTGTTCCTAAGTCTGTGGGTATCCCGACATAGTCCAGTTCTTTCGCTGCCCTTACTCCAAGAGTAGTGGACAGCCTCGGGTCTGCCTCAGTCAATGGTGGTAGAGAAAGCAGGCCTACAAGTTGTCTTTGACACCAGAATTGCTGTTTACCTCGCTGGATTTTATATGACTTGCTAAAATTCCCAGAATTGTTGTAAGAGAACACAATTTTAGTTTTCTTTTAAATTTTTCAATTCTCTAGACACTTGAATCCAGACACAGAACTGAAAAGGTATTTTGGCGCTCGAGCTGTCCTGGGGGAACAAAGGTAAGATCAAAATGGGTTATATTCTCAGTTAAAGGTGGAGGTGGTTCTCAAAGCCAAGGTGAAAAAATGAGGCCCTCAGGATGCCTAGTTATGAGGGCCCTGAGAGGGTGTCCAGGGAGAGGCTGGAGTTTGACCTTGTCTGTGGCACCAGGCTCGCTGCCCTCTGTAGCAGAGGCTCTGAGAATCCTTAAATTTTGAGCTTCTAGCCCTGGAATCTTTGGCAGGTTCATTGCTTCCCAGTCAGCAGCACAACTGACATGAAGTTTTGTTTCTGGGACAATTTTGATCTTTGTTATTGTAACAGTTTTTAGTGGTTGGCACCCCGCGGTACATGCAATGAGAGGTGCTCAAAGCATGAGAGTCTGTTTCTGGGACTTTCTGTGGGAGGCACAGGGTCTGCCTTCAGTGCTCCTTCACATCCAGGGCCTGGGAGCTTTCACACCAACAGGAGCTTCTCAAGTTCATTTTCTTTATGATTATAGAGTTAAATACTTTAAAAAATTTAAGCAACTCAAGATTGTCTACTTTGACAGCCCCCAAAAGACAACCATCCAGGACAGATCGCTGCACCACCCCAGGATCCCCAAATACCCTCCTCTGTGCACATGCGGGTGCACGGGGACTGCACTTCACCCTGGGGGACAGGTGTTAGGCTGTGTGTGGCTGTGGTCCCCCTGCATCTGTGCCAACATTTCTAGTGAAATTGCCCAGGACTGGGTATTCCCAGCCACATATCACCCTGTCAGCCTCCAGAAGAGTTGTACAGCTGTACCTGCTCAGCACCTCAGTGTTCCTTCCTCTGACCTGCACCAGGCATAGGTTTAAAAATCTGTCATTATGTGTACCCAGAAAATCATCTTGATAATTTGACTTTTCTTCGATTATGAGTAAGGTTGACTATTTTTTCCCTGTTATTTGCTCACACTTTCCTTGCATTTTATAATGGTTTTCACTTTACATTTTGCTTTTATTTTTGGTGTTATTTAGGACACAAGGGTTTCTGACTTTGTCTTCTTTTTGGAATATTGACAAAAAACACTTTACTTTAGAATGTTCCTCCCTGTCACCTGGATTGCCCTGGACTGTCATTCTGCCTGTCCCCATCTTTGCTTCATGTGTTTGCATCTGCTTGGACTGTCTTTGCCATTTCTTGACATTTTCACTTGGTCTTATTTCTGTGTGAGTTAAAGTCAGTAATTAGTAGTAATTACATTTAGCCTGGTCGGCATGGCTCAGTAGTTGAGCATCGACCTGTGAACCAGGAGGTCATGGTTCAATTCCTAGTCAGGGCACGTGCCTGGATTGCGGCTCGATCCCCAGTGGGTGGTGTGCAGGAAGCCGCTGATCCATGACTTCCATCATTGATGTTTCTATCTCTCTCCCTCTCCCTTCCTCTCTCTGAAATCAATAAAAACATATATTTTAAAAAAGTAGTAATTATACTTATTGCTTTTATTGTGTTATACTCGTTTATTTATTTAAAAACTTAAGTCCTACCAAAGGGCTTCCTTGAGAATGGCTCCCTCCTCATCTGTTCTGCCCCTCATTTCTTGCCTGCTCCTCATGTGCTTCTGATCATAGTCCCTAGTGGTTACTCAGAATCTCAGCCACTATGCACTGCTCTTTCTTCGGTTCTCTGCTGACATCCTACTGTGACAGGCCTGGCTGGCTCACTTGCCCTCCCCTCTGTTTCACCTCTGAGGCTCCCCTGCCCCACCTCCTACACAGTTAAAGCTGCCAAAGGCCTCTGTTCTGTGCAGATGGTCCCTGCAGGGCTGGGCTGTCCCTGGTATTCCATAGATGGGACAGTTCCAACATTCAAGTTATTCTCCTTTGGGCTCCTGCTGCTTGCCCAAAATCCTCACACAGTTTAGTTTCCTTCAGATTTGACTCGGCTTTTCTTGTACAATTGTCTTTTCCCTTGCAGGTTCTGACTTTCTTACTGGGAGCAGAAACATGCTTTTTATCCTGTTCCTAACACAGTTCAAATTTTTACTCATTTTTTTTTCCCTTAAAGGAAATACTTCAGATTATCAAAAAAGTATAGAGAATGCCCATTACTCAGCTTAAAAAACAAAACATTCCCTGGCTGATGTGGCTGAGTTGGTTGTATGTCTTCCTGTGCACTGAAAGGTTACCAGTTGGATTCCCGGTCAGGACACATGCCTGGGTTGTGGGCTTGATCCCCAGTAGATGGCATGCAGGAGGCAGCTGATTGATGTTTCACTATCACATTGATGTCTCTTTCTCTCCCTTACTTTCTCCAAAAATCAATAAAAATAATAAATAGTAAAAAAATAAGAAAGAAAAAAAAGAACAAAATGTCACTGATGAGCAGAAACCCCTCCCTGCAACTGGGGCTCTGGGTTGCAGAGAGATGCCCAGGTGTAGGGCTGGGGCCCTTGGCCCCTAAGGGAGGGCCGTCCACATCAAGGTCTATGGAGCTGTGCCCGCTGCCTCCCCACTGCCCACCTGCTCTCCTGTCTGGCTTACTTTCTCCCAGAACCTAAAGTTGGTGCTGATGTTAGGGTACTTTCAGATCTCTTCCCTTTCCAAACCTGTTGCACTGGGGAGTCCCAGGACAGGTGAGACGGAAACGGGCCTTGAGGTGGAGGTCGGATGTCCGCCCTCTGTGTGGCCTTGTCCTGTCAGTGCCCCCCAGACGCAGCTCGTGAGTCCACAAGGTGCCTGTAGGCTCACTCATTCCTGTCGTCTGTAGTTGAGGTTTTGAACTCTTTCGTTTTACCTTCCCTGACACTTTGCTGGGCTGCAAATTCCCTGTTTCTTTTCTTTCTCTGGCCATCTGGTTATTTAGATCACGGGCCCCAGCAATCTGGCAGTGGTCACATTCAGTTATTGCCGTATTTTGTCCTTGTCATGTCTGTGGAAGAGCAGCCCCCCCCGCCCACCTGAGATTTTGCTCCCACAGCCCAGCAGAGTTTGGGCAGTGTAGGTGAAGCTGTGCCATATCCTGTTCTCCACAGGCCGAGGCAGAGGCAGCGTGTGTACCCCAAGTGTACGTGGCTGACGACCCCTAAGAGCACCTGGCCCCGGTACACCAAGCCAGGTGAGGGGCTGTGGAGGTGCGGGGGTTGTATGGTGGCCGACACGGCATGATTGGGGTCTGAGCCCATTGGGCCAGGCCAGTCCTCTGTTTATGCAAAGCTGTGTGCAGGTGTGTGGCCAAGTGCCTGGTGTGGTGCTGGAAGAGAGACACCCCATGTTGGGACACAGACACCCCCCCCACACTCCAACTGTGTGTCTTCTCACCCATGTTTTTTTATTTGTTTTTAAATACATCTTTATTGATTTTAGAGAGAGGAAGGAAGAAGGAGAGAGAGAGAGAAACATAATGAGGAGAGTCATTGATCGGCTGCCTCCTGCACGCCCCTGACCTGGGACCGAGCCCTCACCCCTGCATGTGCCCCGACCAGGAATTGAACTGTGATCTCCTGGATCCTAGGCCAGCGCTCAACTGCTGAGCCACGCCCGGCCAGGCTCAACTATGTTTTAATGCAGCTTTTTTCTACTCACTTTTTCTTGTGGATACTGTATCATAGGAAGCAATCAGGTTCCTTTTTAAAAAAAATATGTTTTTATTGATTTTAGAGAAAGAGGAAAGGAGAGGGAGAGAGAGATAGAAACATCAGTGATGAGAGAGAATCATCGATCAGCCACCTCCTGCATGTCCCCTACTGGGGGTTGAGCCCACAACCCAGGAATGTGCCCTGACTGGGAATCAAACTGTAACCTGGTTCATGGGTCAACGCTCAACCACTGAGCCACACCAGCCGCGCTCAAGTTCATTTTTTAAGTGTGATATTTTATATTTTGTTGCAAACTAGTAAGTACACATAATTTAAATAAAAACAGCAACAGTGTGGAAAGGTGTGGGGTGTGGGTAAGAGTCCTGTCAGGGCTGCTTGGCTGGACGGCCTGGAGGAGCACCTGGGAGCCCTCAGGCTAGGGCAGGAGATAGGGGAGGGAAGCCACGAGCATGGGCAGAGATGGAGACGTGAGCTGTGTGTCATGTGGCACGTGGTCTTGGTGTGGCAGTCAGAGTGTGAGCCAAGGGTGACCCAGAGCCACTGACCTATTTCATGAATGTGCTGAAGGGAGACTAGAGTGTCCAGGTTCATCAGCAGAAACGACCCTGTACCCCAAAGCTGAGCATGAAGAGCAGGGAGAAAGGGCATCTGGTCGTGGTTACAATCACATCGCCTCCATGCCCACACAGCCCCTGTACTGTTGTCCTGGGTGTTGGTGCTCTGTCCACACTCGTTGGGGGAGAAACGTTTTTGTAGGAAAAGAGCAGAGAGGGTACAGGCAGTCAGCCTTGGAGCTGAGGACAGCGCTCGGCTGGCGGAACCAGTGCTTCGATGTGGCAGCTTGAGCTGAGTACACACAGAGGTTCCTCGCCAAGAGCACCTTAAGGGGCCTGACCTGGTGTCCTCCCCAGGCCTGTCGATGCGGCTGCTGGAGTCCAAGAAAGGCCTGTCGTGCTTTGCATTCGAGCACAGCGAGGAGTACCAGCAGACGCAGCACAAGTTCCTGGCTGCCGTGGAGTCTATGGAGCCCAACAATATCGTGGTGCGTGAGTCCCACAGGCAGGGCCTGGGTGGCAGGTACCATGCTCAAGGGACGGTGCTTCTGGAAGCTCACCGCTGTCTTCCAGTGTGGGGACTGGGCCACGGGGAGGGGCTGAGGTGGAGACACCTGGGCAGAGTCCCGAGCTGCCACTTCAGTCAGGTTAGGGATTTGGCTTCACAACCGTGTCAAACACCATTTGAGCTGGGGAATACCATGAATCAACCCTGGTGATATTTTCCCCGAGGCTTAGATGCCTGAAAGAAAGACGTGCCCAGGGGTCTGGTGCCTTCGATGTTGTCCCCGGAGGGCCCTGACCGCAGCCATGGTCAGCTTCCCTTCTTGCCTCGTAGGTTCTGCTGCAGACAAGCCCCTATCACGTCGACTCACTGTTGCAGCTTAGCGATGCCTGCAGGTTTCAGGACGATCAGGAGATGGCGCGAGACCTCATAGGTGAGAGCTCCTTGCACCCGGGTCCTGCTACAGAGCCTGCGCGTCCCCTCCCATGAGGGTCTCTCTCACAGGCTGGCAGCATAGATGCCATTTGGTAAAATGCCAGGATATTGTTCAAGTAACAGTTTTATTTAGATATAATTCATGTTATATGAAATACTCCCATTGAAAATATACAGTTCAGTGGTTTTTAATAAATGCCAGAGTTGCACAGCCGCATAGATCCTAGACCATTTTCATTACTTAAAAAAGAAATCCCAACTCATCAGTCACCTGATCCCCAGCCCCTGGCTGCCACTGGTCTGCTTTGTCACTGATTTTGCCTGTTGACGTTTCTGATCAGTAGAATCATGGAAACGTGTCTGTCTGGCTTCTTCATTCACCACAGTGTCTCCAAGGCTGGGTGATGTTCCGCTGTGTTACGGACCATGTTTTGTGACCCACCAGCACTTGACAGACACTGGGTTGTCCCCATGCTGCGGCCCTTGTGAATGAGCTGCCAGGACTGTGTGTGAGTTTCGTGAGCTTGTGTGTTTGCATTTCTCTGGAATCCGATTGTGGCTGGTTCGCATCCCTGTGGGTGAAGTAAACACAGAATGGCCTCGGTGATCCCCAGGGTTGCATTTGTGCTGTCACTTTCCCAAATCCTAGTTACCTGACCTCCTTCCTTCCAGAGCTTTCCTTGTTGCGAGCCACAGAGGATGGGGTTGCAGTTGCCGCGCGGTGGCTGTGACGCCCTCCCCTGGTGTTTGTGTGGCCCGCAGAGAGAGCACTGTACAGCATGGAGTGTGCCTTCCACCCCCTGTTCAGCCTCACCAGCGGGACCTGCCGGCTGGACTACCGCAGACCTGAGAACAGGTGAGCTGGGCGCCCTGAGGGGTTTTACTCATGCTCACTGCTCTTTCTGTTGGGCATTGAAGCTTTCACAGGTGACAGGAGAACCAGGGTTGGGAGCAGGAACAGGTAGCATGAGCTGTCTGCAAGGGGTCCCACCAGGTGGCTTGGACCAGGCATCTCACTATATTTAAAGTTTGAATGCAGGAGGGCTGGGCTCAAGAATGGTGGGATTGGCTGGCCTGAGGTAAAATTTGTTATAAGTGATCCTAGCCCTGGCCGGTTTGATTCAGTGGTTAGAGCGTCGGCCTGCTGACTGAAGGGTCCCAGGTTCGATTCCAGCCAAGGGCACGTACCTTGGTTGCAGGCTCCATCCCCAGCTCTCGTCAGGGCGCGTGCGGGAGGCAACCAGTCGATGTGTCTCTCACATCGATGTCTCTCCCCTTCCTTCTCCCTCCTGCTCTCTCAGAAAAGCAGTGGGAAAAATATCCTTGGGTGAGGATTAAAAAAAGAAAATCAGTTAAAAAAGAAGTGAGCCTAGTAAGCCACTGTACCACGATTAGGTCTGTAATCGTGTTTCCTGGTATCTCTGGATAAAAGGACCTGTGCCAGCAAGACTAGCATGCTCTTCAGTGTTTTGTACTTGGGTGTGTGACTCCTTTTTATGTTGAATCCTCACCCAGGATGTTTTTTCCATTGCTTTCCAGAGAGAGAGTGGAAGGGGGAGAAAGAGAAACATCCATTAGTTGCCTCCTGAACTCGTCCCAATGAGGGCCAGGGATGGAGCCTACAACCAAGTTTCATGCCCTTGGCCAGAATTGAACCCAGGACCCTCAGTCCACGGGCCGATGCTCTAACCACTGAGCCAAACCGGCCAGGGCGAGTGTGTGCAATTCTTAAGCGAGTAGCTCAAATTGAGCCCAATTCTGTTTTCCTGCAGTGAACTGTTATGTGCATGGGGCCCTCTTGTCTTGCAGAAACTTCTGCCTCCCTGAACCACCCCTCTCAGGCCCTGAATGGCTTCAGCAGCCTCCCCGCTGACCTCAGCCTGGTCTTCAGGGCCGTGGTGCAGTGGACGTGTCCTCTGTCCTGGAGCTGTCCTTGGTTGTCAGCAGCGTGGGGCATTTCTCTGTTGATTGTGTTTGTTGGCCTTATCTCTCCAGTTAAATTTCTAGTTCCTTGAGACCAGTTGTATGATACTAGCATTTCTGGGCATTAACTGGGCAGTAAGTGTTGATAAAAATAAGGGCCCACTGGGATCATTCTAGTCACAAACTTGACACATCACCACTGCTGCTGCTACTGTTGAAACGTGAGGATAAATTAAGGTCATAATGACAGATTGTAGCTCTCTTCATGTAAATGATAAAAGGTTAAACTCAAGATAAAGGTTTGAACTAACAGATAAGCTTGGTTTTCTGTACATGGATACACACATAACTCAAACAACAGGCAGAGCACCAGCTTCTCTGCAAACACAGGAACATCTTCGAACACTCATGGTAATTAGGCCACACAGGAAATGCTGACGAAGCCAGCACAAGAGGGTGGATGGTGTTGGATGAGGCTCCTGGGCAATGTGGATTTGCTGCCTACTGTCACTCTGGCTCATGAGGAACTGTTTGGGTCTAGGAGCTTCTACCTGGCCCTATACAAGCAGATGAGCTTCCTGGAGAAGCGGGGCTGCCCGCGCACAGCGCTGGAGTACTGCAAGCTCATCCTAAGGTAAGTGTCCCAGATTGGGCTGCACTCTCTCAGGGACAGTGCTTTCAGGGGCCATAGGTCGGCAACATCCACATGGGCCCACTCTGGGTTTTGTCTCCTTCTGCCCTCCCTGCTCACGTGCTACCTCTGGAAGCCTTGAGCCCGATGAGGACCCCCTCTGCATGCTGCTACTGGTCGACCACCTGGCCTTACGGGCACGCAACTACGAGTACTTGATCCGCATGTTCCAGGAGTGGGAGGTAGGTATGAGGCTGCAGACACAGGCCCTGTACAGTCCTGTGCGTCCAGGGATGGCTGAGGGACCCCATGGCAAGGAGACCCCACCCCGTGCTTATGGCTCGGTGTTACTGAGACAGGAGCATTGAGTAGCTGTCTCAGTTATCAGATCGACTGTCGAGGTGTCAGTGCTCATGCTCAAGTCACCCGATTTCACTTAATAATGCCCCAAAGTGCCCGGCCAGTATGGCTTAGTGGTTGAGCATCGACCTGTGATCCAGGAGATCGATGTTTGATTCCTGGCCAGAGCACATGCAGGCTTGATCCCCAGTGGGATGGAGCCAATCAATGACTCTCTCATCATTCATGTTTCTATCTCTCTCTCCCTCTCCCTTCTCTCTGAAATCAATAAAGACATATTTAAAAAATAATAACCATAATGACCCAAAGCACAAGCATCCTGATGCTGACGATTCATGTCTGCCACAGAAGCCATAGGGTGCTTCATTTAAGTGAGAAGGTGAAAGTTCTCAATTAGGATAGAAAAAAAAATCATATACTGAGGTTGCCAAGGTCTGCGGTGAGAACGAATCGACTACATGTGAAATTGTGAAGAAAGAAAAAGAAATTCATGTTGTTTTTGCTGTCAAACTATCGTTCTATTTTATTGTTGTTGGTAATCTCTTACACTCTGCCTAATTTATCAATTGAACTTGAGCACAGGTACGTATGTATAGGAGAGAGCAGTGTTTGTCGGGTTCAATACTGTCCACAATGTTAGGCATCCACTGGGGGTCTTAGAGTGCAACCCCCGTGGATGAGGGGGTGGCGACTGTGTCATTTCTGCGAAGGGAAAACCCCCAGATGTGAGCTTGTCGTCGTCACACTGAGTGCTGCAAGGATGTCACCTTGTGCTCACTGTCTGAGAATTTTGCTCTGGCTTTCACCCTTGTAGGCTCATCGGAACCTGTCCCAGCTCCCAAACTTTGCCTTCTCCGTGCCGTTGGCATATTTCCTGCTGAGTCAGCAGGCAGACCTCCAAGAACAGGAGCTCAGCTCCGCCAGGGAAAAGGCCTCTCTCCTGGTGCGACAGGCCCTCACCATGTTCCCCGGAGGTGGGTGCTCCCAGAGCCCCCACCCTTCCTGTCAGATCCACCCAAGTGATAGTGTCAAAATGGAGTCTCAGAGTGGCTTGGGGTTTTAGGATGTCTTTTGATGTTGGTAGTTTGAGAAAAACTTACCTTCTGAAGAAGGTGTGGCATTTTCTGTGGAGCAGAAAGTAAGCCCCTGGACGTTGGCAGAAGTGGAAATGGGAGGGGGAGTCAGCCAACTGAGCTTCACATTCTTGTCTTACAGTCCTGCTTTTTACTGATTTGAGGGACTGAGACATAAAGTTGTCCTGGGGCCTCACGGACAACCGTCCCATGGGTGTCGGTGTGCAAAGGTCTGCAGGCTTGTACCCTGGGTGGCAGTCAGCAACTTCTAGCACATCCTCAAAGGCATCTGTGACCTGGAAAAGGAGCTCGCAGTTGTGTGTGTGTGTCATCCCCTCAACCCCAGTCCTTGTGCCACATGCAGCTTCACAAGGAGGCATGATCCCTGCCCCTGGGGCTGATGTCCCAGGGCAGGGTGACTGGGGCTTTGTGTGAGGTGGTGCTAGAGAGAAAATAGGGCTCTGCAGGGGAGGAGACCCAAGCTGCTCAGGCTCCTAGCCTCCAGGTAAGGCACAGGGCAGAGCCACCCTGCTGGTCAGAACAGAGCTTGAATGCTGCTTTAGCTCATCCTGGGGCAGTCCCTGGAAAGACTGGTTTCTCCCTCGGAGGGTGCTACTGAGGGGTGGGTTGTGTTGTCTTTATGATGAGACTGTCCAGCACCCGTGCTTTTGGGGTCACAGGTGAGTCCCCTCAGATGCAGATGGGGCCATTGGGAAGCAGCAGGACAAAGGACCCCTCCCTCAGTGCCAGCCTATCGTACGTGACACGTCAGGCCTCTGCTTCCTCCCACAGTTCTAATGCCCTTGCTCGAGTACTGCAGCGTGCGGCCAGACGCCACTGTCGCCAGTCACCCTTTCTTTGGACCCAATGCCGAAATAAGGTAAAGACTAGAAGACACCCTCAGGGGCACGAATGCCTGCGTGTGCATAGTGGGGGCACCTGTCGCCCTAGCAGGCGCTGTCTGCACATCTGTGGGGGGCCTGGGTCCTGTGCCCATGTGGGGCTTCAGCCTGGCCTGTTGGACATGGAGCTGGTGGGCATGTGAGCAGCCTGCAACCCAAAGCACAAGGCTTCCCGAGGAGGAGGAGGGCAGGGCATGGGGTCCCTGTTCTTTTTATACTTTATGCTCCTATTAAGGAACTCATAGTTAGTAAAGACCACATACGGCCTACAGAAGTAAGCACCCATGTGCCCCACCCATGGGCAGTGGTATATCCCAGGTTGGCACCCCCCTCTCGGCAGCCTCTGTTCACTCCAGGCTTTGGGCACACCCAGGACATGTGCCAGCAGGTGCCAGCAGGCATGTGGAGGCCTAGACTTGGGCAGGAGGTTATGCTTACAGACCCTGCCTTCCTGCAGCCAACCCCCTGCCCTGAGCCAGCTGGTGAGCCTGTACCTCGGGCGATCCCACTTCCTCTGGAAGGAGCCCGCCATCATGAGCTGGCTGGAGGAGAACGTCCGTGAGGTCCTGCAGGCAGTGGATGCTGGGGACCCAGCTGTGGAAGAGTGTGAGAACCGGTGAGCTGGGACCAGGGCAGCCAGGCAGCATCGGGCCTGATGGGGCCACGGGCGTAGAACAAGGCCCAGCTGCTCAGGGACCTTGGGCACAAATGTGGGTTCAGGTCAGGCCCCATTCCATAGGCTTTTCCTTTTTCCCCCTGGGCCCTAGGCGGAAGCTTCTCTACCAGCGTGCGCCCAGAAATATTCACCGTCACGTGGTCCTCTCTGAGATTAAGGAAGCTGTTGCTGCGCTGCCCCCGGTAAGAAGCTGGGCTACCTGTGGGAGCAGGTGAGAGCTGGCCCCTTCCCTCAGGGCCCCCAACCTGTAGCCTGCTGCTTGGAGGTGACATCCTGACATCTTGGGCGAAGAGTGCATGCGTGAGGGTGGTGGTGTGTCCCACCCCTCACCCAAAGTCTTCAGTATGGTAAACACAGTCTGGCTGCTGTGGTCAACTCCAGCAGAAAGGTCCAATCTAGACCAGAACTGGCTGACAGGCTGCGGGGAATGGGGCAGAGGCACAGCACAGGGCTTGGCTGCATCTCTGTTTTGTTCCTTTCTGCAGGATGTCACCACGCAGTCTGTGATGAGCTTTGACCCTCTGCCTCCTTTGGATACCATCTACTCCTACATCAGGCCAGAGAGGTACCTCTCCACCTGCTGCTTGTTCCATTGCATTTTGGCTCTGATATCAGTGCTTTAGGCCCTGGGACTTGTTGCCTCCTCCAGATGTAGGCCCTTGGAGCAGAGTGGTTTGGGGTCATAGATCAGCTTTTCCAGGCATGAATGCTTTTCATTTATTTGTCTGACATAGGAGCATTGCTCTGTCAAGTTATATAGCAGGTGCTGGAAGCAAAAGTGAGGCCACCTCTGCCCTCGTGGTGAGTACAGTGCAATGGGGAAAACACGTCAGGTATAGAGTCTGGAAACTGCCACCAGAAACTGCTGGGAGAGAGTGGTGGGTATACTGAGATGCAAGGTGCCCTAACCAGGTAAAGAGGTGGACAGCTGCTGGGCATCCAGCAGAGGAGTCAGCGTGTGCGAAGTCTCATGTGGCTGGGCCAGAAAAAGTAGCACCAAGTGCACAGCTACAGGGTTGTGTGGACGGCTTCTTTTTTCCTTCTGGTCTTTAAAGCTGAATAATTGCCTTACTGAGAGCCCATCACCACAGAGTCCTAGATCTGGAAGAGTCACCAACAGATTGTCTCATTTAAGGGAATATGACCTTTCAGACATGGGTAGAACACATTTTGTAGAATGAAGTCTTTTTTCCTCACCGGATTATAAAAGTTGGATTGCATGTTCATAAGGTAACACTTCTCTGTTAAAGTCTCCAATCGAGGTGGACATTATTGTTAGTGTCATGTATTCAGAAAAAAGCTGACATGCTGGACATCTTAGCACTGAGGAATGGCTGTAGGACTTTAATGACTCAGCATTGTCCCCCCCACCCGCACCTCCACCTCCAGCTCTGTAGCCCATGAGCTGTCAGAGCAAATGAAGGTCACTGCCAAAGGTCACCTCAGTATCTCATAGAGCTGGTTTGCAGTACCTCATTTCACCAGGAGGGGGGGGTCTTCACTGAACACTTGCCTTGGAATCTTTTTTTTTTTTAATGGATAAGAGAGAGAGAGAAACATCAATGTGAGAGCAAAACCTCAAAATCAACTGCCTTCTGAACGCCCCCCACCAGGGATCAAACCTGAAACCTGGGCATGTGTTCTGACCAAGAGTCGAACCGGTGATCTTTCCGTCTACAGAACAACACCCAACTGAGCACACCGGCCAGGGCTAGAATCTCTTTATACGATGAGTGTATGCTCCTTCAACTCTTAAGTGCTAAGGAGTACTTTGAAACCACAGCTTTTCTTATAAGCAAGGCACCTGTGCATTGACTGGTGTTCAGCCTTGCTGTGGCGGCCTCTGCTTTTCATTTGGTTAACAAGCCAGGTTTTAAAGGGCCAGCCCCCCACTCTGGAACAGTCTTGACCCCTGTTGCCTCTGGGTGCCCCCAGTGCACCCTGAGCTGATCGGAGTTGTGGCTCCCTGCCCCTGAGGTCCAGGCCCCATCTCAGCCCCCTCTCTCCAACTGCTGCCTTTCTGTCTCTGCTTCATTTCTTGACTGTTCTTTCTCTTTCAGGCTGAGTCCCGTCAGTCATGGAAACACAATCGCCCTCTTCTTTCGGTCACTACTGCCCAGTTACACCATGGAGGTATGGTGAGCACACCTTGGCCTGTCCAGAACCAGCACTGCTAGCAGCGGGGGCACCCAGTCAGCCTAGGAAATTGGACATGCCCACCTGAGCTTGTAGCTGCCAATTGGACAAAACCTCCTCAGTTAGCATGGCTGCTGGCACTCCCTCTAGTGGCCTGGCCTTGTTAGTTAGATGAAGGTGTGTTGCTACTAGGCCCCGGTTCCCAGACAGCCCTGCTCAGACAGGTCTCGTTGCCACAGGGGGAGAGGCCAGAGGACGGAGGAGCCGAGGGACTAGACCGCAACCAGGGCTTGAACAGGTTGATGCTGGCCGTGCGAGACATGATGGCCACCTTCCACTTCCACGACCCGGAGGCTCCGCACGAGGACCGTGACGAGGGGGATGGGGAGTGGGACTGAGCACAGAGATGCTGTGCCCACTCTGTACAATTATGTTCCTGATTTGTCTGGTCGGGATCGGCCAGTTCCCCGAAGTAAAAATGCCATGTCCCCTGCCTCTCCTGTCTCTCCTGTAAATGTGAATGGTTACACCTGCACATGTGAGCTCTCCTTTCCCAGGGCTGGGTCGGTGCCCCGTGCGAGGCAGGTAGGGCCCTGTGTGCTTCTGTTGGAACCAGGGACAGGCTAGCCCCGGAGGGGAGGGCTGGCTGGGTCCTCTGGCTGGGCACCATAGGTATAGTCTTTCTAGTTGGCAGAATGGTTCTATTGGAAAACATTGAGTCGGAGGGGGGGCCTGAGAGGTGGCAGCTCTGGGGAACGGAAGGGGCAAAGATTGGGGGCATTTGATTTGCAGGGTGAACCGAACATGGTGCGGGCAGGCTTTTTGGCTGGGGAGGGTCCTGGCACACTTGGTTGGCCGCTGAGAACCACACAGGGCTGCCTGTGACCCAGAAGCCTCTTTGCTTCTGGAAGAATCCAGGGCACTGAGGTTGTGAGCTGGAGGTACCCTGTCTGTGGGCACCCTCCTGGCCCTGATCCCAAGTTCAAAGGAAATTAGACCACTTTTGGAACAAGGCACTGTGACCCAGCTCTGAGTCAGCCCTTTCTGAGGTTCTACTGGGACGAAAGCCAAGGGGGCAGGCAGCAACCCTGCATGGCTGTGACCCCTTCCTCACTGGTGTGGCCATGGCTGGACACATGCACCCCTCACTCTTCATGGAGCTTTTCAGGTCCCAGTTTCCCTGTGGAGCTCACTCGCATATTGAATGCTTATGTGTCGTGGGCCTACTGTCTGCCTGGACCTGTTCTTGGTGCTAGGGAGACAACAGTAACAAGATTGAGGGACTTACTGTTTTCACAGCCTCCTCATGTGTGAGTCAAACACGTCTCATGGTGGGACAAGCTCTTGGAACACTCCATTGCCATTCCTCACGCAACTTCCCAGGGGCACCGGAGGTTGAATGATAGAATTGGCTTTAGGATTATCTGATTTCTTTAGACATTTCCCTCATGACCATAACTAATCACAAAGTTGATTTTTTCCAACTCAGCTGTATCTGCTGTTTCCCTCCCACAGAGTCCCCAACAGGGAGTCCAGTGGGAACCAGATGGGGAGTCCTGAGGCCTCGCCGGGAAAAAGGCTGTGGTCACCCGCCAAAGGCTGCCCAGTTCTCACGCCCTTTGAAGTCTCAGGCTTGGGGCGGGGCGAGCACTGGCCACCTCAAAGGCCTCATTTATAGAACCAGAAATAGTAACATCCCTGAAATGTCATGACAGGAGCTGAGGGCAGGGCTCTGCTCACCCAGCAGACATCATCCATGCCCCAGGGCTGGAAGATGGTTCTTGGGGCCGGAGAGCTACAGTGGAGCCCTAAGACAGGGACAGTGGGTCCTGCATAGCCCCTCACAGCTGCTGAGACCACCTTCTGGCTGTGGCACAGCCTCGTATTCATGCCCTGGGATCCTTTGGGGTCCTCCACCAGGAAGGTGGGGAGGGGGTGTGCAGTGGGGCCCATCCTGTGCCTGCTTCCTGTGGAGCTGGGGAGAGGCCTGTCCCTTCATCCATACATGGGGAGTGGCAGGGCTCATACATTGCCTACCAGAAATAGGCAAACAGGTCCACCAGTTTGGAAAGTGGTTTGGCCGAATCTGCCAAAGCTAGAAACATGCCTTGGACCATGAAATCCCATTCCTTGGTGTCACCCAGCATGAACACATGACTGTTCACCAAAACACAGGACAAGCACCCAGCAGCACTGTAATGGATTGGGAGCTGCCCCCATGCCCAGCGTAGTTGAGGGGATCTCGGTGCTGAGGAAGAGACACAAACTTAGCTCTGGGTGCTGCTTTACTGGCTGTTCAGATTGGGGCATCCACCAACCTTCGTATTTATAATGGGTGTACTTTACCTGTGATGTACTTCAAAAAAGGGGGAAAGAGCTTTGTAAATTGTGCAGCTGTAATGAGGAATTAATATTTATAAGTGGATATTAATGTGTGCTCATATGCATGGGCCCGTAAGTAAAACTTTCAACAAAAAAGATAATTATTTTTTTAAAAAATCAAGCAGTGAATGCATAAATAAGTGAAGCAACAAATTGATCTCTCTCTCACCCTTCCTCTCTCTAAAATCAGTATTTTTTGTTAATCCTCACCTGAGGATATTTTTTCCGTTGATTTTTTTTTTTTTTTTTTTT